CAAATAAGTATCTCCGATAACATCCAGCACGTTTGATCCATGGTATAGCCACTATTGAAGTCTTTAATGTCGATGTCGTGATTCAGAACCCTGCCAGTAAAGTTCGCATGTTTTGAAGCACCACGACTAACAGCTGAATAATGAGTACAGCCATAATCCATGTAATCGTGTTTTTTCAGAAAGTTCCAGCAATTAGCCAGCTGTTTTACTTTTAATCATGCTGATCGGTGCTACATATCACCGGTTTGCGAAACAACTAGCGCAACTGACTTTATTACTCGACAGTGTTAGCTATCGTGAGTATGAACATTTGTAATTGTTCTTGAAATCACTATACTTACGTTGCTTGATTACCACTACTACTAATATTGACAGATATAAGTAGTATGTGACATCAATTAGAAGTGGAACGCCTGCCAAAAGAAGGTCGAGAGGGTTAAACGGGATGAAACAGAAAGGGAAATATAAAGGAATTGAGAAACGGAAGAATCGTGAGGTCTTTAAAGGACAATTGGTGGAAGATTTGCAAATAAAGTATTTAATTTTGGTTTTCATATTTTACTAAGGAACTCTGTAATTTTGCAGTAAACAATAAGTTAGTTTTATCCACCAAGTCTTTGTTCATTACACTACTACTACTACTACTACTACTACTACTACTACTACTACTACTACTACTACTACTGCATGATATAATATATTTAAATAAATGTCCAATGAATCTGTTCTTCTATAAAAGCCCACAACCTGTATGCTTGCAGAAATTATGATTTATCAACAAAATCCACATTCTACTGCACTCAAGCAAGCTAATATTAATTGACTGACTCGTATTTTAGACTAAGGTTTGCTAAATGTACTATTCCATAACTCAATCCACTTCCTTCTATTATTGTTTTTTTCTGATGCAAGTGAAACCAAATAGCATTTTTGTGTTTATATTGGTGGTAATATTTGTAACCCAAAAATTTAACCATCATATGTTTGTGTTTCTAGTGTTTTTGCACTTGACACTGGTTTGACCACATATTTTTGTTTAGGTTGTGATTCATTGCCTAAGCTCCACATTCTAAACCAACTGTTTCTAATGGCTAAGTTTTTAAAAAGCATTTATATACTTAAATTAAAGATTTTATATTACAGTCATGTATAGTTTTTTAAGATACATTACAGTCTGGTTTAATAACAGAAGGTTCTCGGCTTGTTTTGTCTCGTTTATTACTGCGATGTCCACCAAGACTTAGTCGCCCTAGTTTTCTCATAAATGCTATTCCAAATGAATTTACATTTTGAAACTTAGTATTTGTGTCCAGTGTCATGTTATTGCTTTCTTGTGCATCAGAATGCCTAGGACGTTGATTGTGTCCTATGTGAAGAACTGTCGCGCCCTTAGATGACGAATTCCCAAAAAGTACTGCAAATGCACTTGCTCTTCTTCTTTCATCAGCCTTACCAGACTTAAAAGGCAGCAAATCAAATAAAATTCTGTTCTCTCCAGCTTCTTGATTTTGTTGCCATAGTACTTTTAAAATTTCAATCATACCGTAATTATCACGAGCTGATGCAGTGACGACTGAACTAAAGGGTATCTGTAAGTTTTCTGCTAGTTGTTCAACATCCTCATCTTTTACCATCCATTCACTTTCTCTAATATCACTCTTATTGACAACTATCACTGTTATTAATTTTCTGTAATTTTCTTGTCTTTCATCCTGAATTTCTTGCAAAATCGTCTTTATCCTGTCTAAACTTGATGGGTTATCTCTTGCACACACTAATACAAATGCAGAAGCTCTTCGTTGCCACAGTCTATTCATTGCTGGGAACGTGTAACTTCCTGCAGTGTCAATAAGTCTCAATCTGCATAAATTTCCTCCAACTATAAATTCTCTGACGAACGAGTCTTCAATTGTAGGTTCATATTTATCGTTCCATAAAAAATAACTTGACCCTTTGATTATTCGTTGGACTAAAGCTGTCTTCCCCACTTGGGCTTCTCCCATGAATACAACTTCTGCATGTGGTTGCTCTTGATCATCCATGGAAAGTAGTTCCTAAGAATAAAAATAGTATATTGTTATCAATTGTATTTGTATGGATATGGTTTAAACACGAGATCACCTTTCCAAATTAAAGCAAAATTAATTGGGGCTCAAAGATATATATATATATATATATATATAAACCAAAATAAGAACTTCGACCATTAAACAAATCGATGTCTGAGAGGTAAACATTATTTCTGAGTAGACCACTGCTAAACACAGTAGGTTATGGCTTTTCAGTTAGTGTCTTTGCCTGTTTCTTGATATGCTGATTAAAAAAATGAAGAACATATCCTAACCTCTCTGTTCACTAGTAATGTTTAATAAATTGATTAAAAAGCAGTATCATTAGTCGTCATAGATCTTTTGTACTTTAGTTCAGCAGTACATTGTCTTTGACTCCTATCTCTGATTCAAAAACCCCTACTTAATTTTCAAGTTTTGTCATTCATTCATTCGTGTGTACAATTACATCTCTTTGGCTAATAAAATTTTGTAAATTTTATTTTTTTTAAAGGTAGACTAAATATTAATTTGGATATTTTATTTAAGTTCATTTTTAGGTTTAATAAGTTGTGTTCATAGCTAATTTCACTCTGCTTTTGGTATGGTGTTTTGGTTTACTTAACCATACTCTTTATCCTCCCCAAGACATTTTTTGATCTCTCGATCCATATTCAAAACTTATGTTCTCACAAGTATTAAAAACATAAATACTAATAATATGTGAAAATTATATTTCAAATAATCTCAGCGATTGAAATTTAAATAATTTCAACGTTTCGTCCAGCAAACTTGTTTGGACTTCTTCAGGGTAAATACTAATAGTTTGTGGAATTCTCGTTTACATTGATCGAATTTATCGATGGGGGGAAATAACATAGTATTGATTAAATCAAGTTTGTAAATTTCTTAATTTGTTTACAAAAGTGAATTTGTTCAAAACTTATTGCTCTTGTGTGTTGAATGAATTAGTCAGTATGAATATATAAATGTTTATAACCACCCCACAACAAATCATCTAGTAAGTTATGAACCCTATCAACTTCCAAGATCACTATACTCCTGGACTATTTGATAAGTGTTTATTAATATTACAACTTTGATATATTGTTTGTAATTTGGGTTTGTAAACCATTAAATTCACGGAATATATAGAATGAAATTCCGAAAGAGATTGAATTTTTCGATCGTCCACTACGTCATTGTGTTAATAATCGTCCATATTATTGTAACGAATCACAAGCTGAATAAAATGCATACTAATGGAAATACGGTTATCTATCTTGAAAGTGTTATTAGTCTTCTTAACGTTCATCAAAACATTTAACTATACAATGGTTTCACGTAATTGCATCAGTTTAAAACATTTTACTCAACTGTAAATTTAAAATAGTCTTCATAGCTTTTCTTTGTTTCGGTTGGATCCTTAGGTTACCAATTTCTAACCAAATTCACTTTGTTAGTGCAATCTAGTTATTTTTATGCAATTATCTAAAATTTACGTTATTGTTTTTAAAATCCAATATTAACACTGTCGAATATGACTTCTAGCGAAATATGATTCGTAAATGAAACTTGAAGTTGCTTAGTGCAAATCACATTTTATTTAATATCGATATCTTCAGCAATGGTTGTATCCTGTGAAACTAAAATGAAAGCATTGAAGTTGTGTGATGAATGCAGTTATCTTATATCTTATCCACTGTTCTTGTTGCTTCAAATTACCAGTGGTTAAATAAACTTCGTTTACTGTTACTTGATCTAATAATCAAATAAAGTTTTTTTTACCTAAAGAATGAAGGCATTATCGTGTGACTACGATAATGTATGGACTAATGATTTAGTGATACGATAACTTAATTGCGTGTACTCTGCACTTCTCAAGTTCGATGATCCTTATCTATACTTATCCTTCTTTCTGAACCTTCGTTACAGTTTAACACATCTATATAGTCGTGACTATTTATGAAACCAGTGGAGACAAGGTTTATCTTTGTATAGTGATAAGACAGTGACATCTACTGGTACTATTCCCATGTATTCTACCTTGAAGTTCAGAGGCTTTTGTCATAGTTGGTTGCAGTTTTTTGGTAAGGTTATCATAAAACAATAGGTTCTCTGACTTGAATATGTTTTTGTCATGTATTTTTAATGGCTTCCGTACCTCTGAAACAGTTTAGTCGAGCTCCAAACATTGTTTTCTGTAAATTATTTGTTTTGATAATGTTTTGGATAGTTCAGTATACTGTCATCTGGTGAATTCCAACTTTAATTTTAATTCTTTTCAATTCTTGTGCTAGATAAATATATATGGCACGTTACTTACATTTATTGTATCACATTAAACAAATCCATAATGTAGCAATACCATTTAATAAACTACCGAATATATAAATAAATTTGTTAGTATTCACTCATAAAACGTCTCATGATGATAGCAGTTACATGATGTCGTTTTCATGTTACGATTCCTAAAATTGGAGTTTAATATCAATTTTCTCGCCTGATGTTTTCAAAATGGTGATTTTCTTATTACTTCAGTGTCATTTTGTGAGTAATAATAACTTTTATTATTGTTAGTTTAATGGAGATTTGAAGGGCAAATGTTTTATTATTTAACGAAACTCACTGTCACCCCAATTCTCCGAATAATTTTAATCGACAAGACAGTGTCCACTTGGTTATCGATTGTGAGATTATAAATGAAAATAGCTTCAACTCTCTTACTCGTTTGCAGCTTAAGGACCTCTGACATCTAAGAAAGCCTGCATTTAATTAATGAATTATTTAATTAAGCATTATTTTAGTTGTCTCTGACTTTATTAGCTTAACATTGCCATCCATACACCGACAGTCAGTTATTTTCCAATCACCACACTCTAAGAACCCTAATTTATTTTATTCTTTTGTCCTATGACAATCAGGATGATGAATATGATCTTGATCGCATCCCGAATACTCATGGTTAATACTATTTACAAAGGAAGCACCCGAAAATGATTGGACTCTCGTTTAATGCATACTTTTTTGACGCTTGATAATTTCTATTAATTTCCTGATAGAGCTTGTAAATTGGCTGCTAGGCTCAATGTTTAAGCCACTATTTTCCAATAGCTGAAGATTTTTAAGGAACAGTTTTTAAATTCAGTGAAATAAATATATTATGTGTAGATAGTCTATGAATAACAGGATGAAGAATATTGATTAACAGTCAGTCAGTTAAGAGAAACGTAGAACCTGGCAGATATTTGTATCAGACAAAGTTACCATATCATATCACGGGGAGATGAAATTATCGCGTTAAATATCAAAGCATTAGAATTAGTATCAATGGTAGTACAAATGATTAAGCGTTGGTAGGATGGTTCGAGAAGAGTAAGTCCGTGAAATAAAGGTTATAAATTAATTGACAGGAACTAAAACTATTCTGGTTTGGAGTTCCGCGAAAATCTGTAAATGCAATAATAGTTTACCTTAGTTTTATATTGAATACTTACATGTGATTACTTTTTTATTAATTGATGTCATTTGAAATAAATTACTGACTATTAGTAAGTACTATGGTTTGAAATGTTGGTTATTCATCAAAATTAGAATTTTAGCTTCAGGTTGTTTATGTTTTCTATCGATTATTTCCTGTCATCCTGATAACCACCTTGAGAGAAAGGCTTTCGAATTGTTGTAAGCTGCTTTCGATAATTTAAGGGATGACTTTTGTGTATGGACAATTTAGTTGGTAATTTCCTATATTGGGGAATTTGGATCCAATGATGAAAATTTGTTCTTTTGCAATTCAGTCTCTCACTCTTATTTTTAGGTTTGTATGTGAGACACTACAAATCTACAAAAACCGTACACAGCTTTGCGTTTTTAATATTTAACTTTTTTGAAATGTAATTTTTCTACAGCTTAAAAACAGTTTTGTTACCTTTCGAATTATCCTAACTTGTTTCTTGAAATTTCAAAACGTTAACCTATGATTTGAAAGATACTGGTGAACAATATACTTTACTGATTTTACAGTCAAGTTTGTATATCTCCTCAATATTTCTGACTCATAATCTTGATGTATATAGTTTTTAATTGATATCGTGAACCAATCAATGTTAAACTACTATCGAAAACCTGGAAGCACTAAACGGCCGTCTCGTCCCAGTACGAGACTACTCAGCGATGCGCACCCATGATCCTACACGCGGATCTGGAACCCTGGACCTTCAGTCTCGCGCGCGAACGCCTAACCTCTAGACCACTGGGCCGGCACCCAACGGCGTTAATGTCTAACTTCAACCAATCCACGAAATTGCGCCACCGTCCACCATTGTCTTCAGTTGGCAACTGCCTCACAACAGACACGGTTGAACTCCACTGGTCACAGCTTCTCACTAGAACTCCAGGAGATCCATCTTAAAGCTAGTCACTAGTGAGCACATGGTCAATTTAAACTCAACAATCTTCACAACCCTATACTGATAAAACTAAATTGTTAGTTTAGTAAATAAGCTTACTGTCGTGTGTAGACGTACTACTGTTTGTATCTAACAAACTCTGTTAACGTATATTTGTTTTTGTGTCCTTATAGGAAAAAGTCACAGATAATTAGTTAATTATTTTCACAGTTGTTTTGTGGAGATCTGTGAATCAATCGAAACTTGTCAAAGTAACTTTTAGAAGCACTTTAAGTATTGATGGTCTTAAAATTGTTTCTTCAAAAGGAATTGATGAAATGGCGCACTAAAAATATAGTAATTCCGAACTGTAGTGGTATGCAAGCAAGCTAAAAATATAAAGCAAGGGAATCGATTGGTAACCGGTGAAAAGGCATAACTAAAATACTATTCCTGATATGAAGAACTTTAAAGAATAAATGCATTCACACTACTTTGGTCAGTATTAACAACAGTCTCTCTTCATCGGTCTTTTGTAAGCCGCACCAATAAAACTAATCGTATATACGGGTTAATCTGGTAGCTTGTCACTTGGTAAAATGGTTCCATTCTTCAGTTTCACCACCGACTTTTGTTTATGCTTATTAAAATAAATAAATAGTCTATGAATAAATCAGCCTGTATTTTCATATCCGTTTTCTGTATTCATTTGCGATTTCCCCTAAAATTAACTTCGATATTTTTATATTTTCAGCTTATGAAAATTCTACATGTTTTAGTTTCAAGTAAATCTGCAACCGATTGTAGTTTCTACTGTGTTTTTATCCATCCGACTTAATGGTAATATATTAACTGTAGGGATTAAGGCATACCAATTGGAAATACTTGAATAATGCATCTGTAAATGCTGGTTGGTGAATATTCATTCGTACTACCTTTTGCTCACAATCATTAAACTGTTGAGTTTTACCTTAAAGGTATTAGTCAGTATTAATAATTCTTTTTCCGTGTTTCAACGAGTCAATTTTCAAGAACTTGATTTTTTCACAAATATAGTTTTTCTCTGTGATTTAAATAAAAATAGGATATTATGAAATAATGGATGATTGTTCCTTTTTGACTTCAAATATGTCAACAGTGTGTACTTTGCGCCTACGAGTTTGTGTTCTATATATTCAGATTTTCACTTTGACTCATGAAGTTAGGAATTTGGCTCATTACTAAGTGTTTATTTTAAGTTGTTACTTAGTTAATAATTACCTGTAACTCATTACCCCAACCTTACTACAAAATTCTGCTGGGAAACCTTTACAATTGAGGTCACTCAAGTTGAGGTGTGAGACATAAATCGTTAACTCTTTAGATCTCCATAATATCATGTGTTTGCCGCCAATCCAGTGGTTGGATGTAACTTTTAAACTATAGTAGGTTTGTATTTTATGAACATGATATTCATTTTGCAAATCCATCGATTTCGGAATTACAGACTGGGTAAGAACGATTATTTATTTCAGCTAATTATAGTTGTCGATAACCAACTCTTTTTGTTCTATCCCATAAAATTAATTCTGTGTGACATGCATCTCTGTTTTATATCACTTGTTATTTATAGAATTTTATAACTATTGTAATCAAACTCACTTTTTTGTTTGTGAAGTAATCTTCAATTTCCTTTCTTTTATGTAATAATTCCGTATAAGGTTAAACTGACCAATCACGTGTGAACAGCATTAATGATGATAAATGTTCATAAGTACATGTGAACTCTGCGTATGTAGTGGTATGTTTTTGTTCAGGCGTAGCAATAATTACAATTTAAACATTAAAGTAGAACGTCTTCTGAATCGTATTAACATCCTCATTTTTAGTGTTCTATTTTAATACATTTACATAAGAATGCATCTGTATTTTAACATATGATGGCTCACAACTATTTTATATGTTACTTATTGTGTTTTTTCATAAGAAAACCAATCCCTTTACATTCAATTATTATTTTTCATACTAACAGTACTGTTCTAACATTTATTGATGTCCTTATTGGGCAGTTCACCATATACATTAGAGCTTATAACACAACAATTAATTCTACTAGTTACCTATCCTAATTCTGTACTGACGTTACATTGGTTCATATACCGTTGCGGTTGGCTGCTAATCAACCAATGGGATTATATATATATGAAGCTGGTAAAAATCTTATTAGCTATAATTGCTAGGTAATCAATCATAGGGATGAGATGACTAAAATGAGGAAGCTAGGTACATAAAAATTATCAGATATTTCGTGATAAATAGTTCTTTTTATTTTTCCAATTTGATCCTTTTCGTCTATCTCAAAAGTAATGGTGAATTCGATTAGTATGACAAATCTAATTCATCATCTCAGCGTTTTATATGTTACGTTTGAATTTTGCCATGATGTTTATGGTATTTACTCGTTCATCAGAGTTATTTGTCATTTAATCCAACTAACTTAAACGGTAGTTTACCTATTGGCAATAAATTACAGTTAATAATTGTTTCGTTTTATAACTGAGGTGAATTCAACCACGCCTCATGTATCCTGACTTCAATCATCGTATTTTTATCAACAAAAATCCCATCCCTAAAATATACTAGTTCGTATTTTTCAATTACAATAATGCCATTTTTAAAAGAAAGACCAAACTAAGCAGCTGTTTAATTATTTACATCGTTGTTTTTATAAAAACATTGGATGATTGAGGTCAGATTGTTTTACTTCTACAATCTTAGTTCAGCTTGTAATCCGTAGTCCACTATCTACTAATGATTTTTGTCAATTGGCTTTATTGCTGTAATACGGGAATTCTAGTCTCTTATTTCTAAACGTGTGATTTGCGATGGGAATCTCAAAGTTTTACTGTTCTTAGTGTAATTTACATGTGTGCCAATATTATAGTAACAAGTACTGTGTGAAATTTGACTCAAGGTTATTTGGTACTTTGTTAGTAATAGGTGTTTCCTACCTATGAATATTTACAAATACTTTAAAATGCGATTGTACAGCTCCAGAAAATGATATCATTGAAAAGAGAATTTTCTTTTGTGAAACGTTTTCATTCTTTTTAATGAATCAATGGGTTGCGTTGACTCCCGTCCGTTTACGTTTGAAAATATTTTCATTTTCCATTCAATTATTCGGCTAGCTGGAATCATGGAGTCTTTTCTATCTCTCACTCGAGATTTCAAATTATTGAATTTTAATAAGACTTTCAGGCCTCTGAATTTGTTTGTGGTTTCTATCTTGATTATATTCGTGGGACATTTATAATTATCAGTTTATTTCAAATTTTAAACGGCTCTGTAGTATAGTTTTGCTCAATATTTAAGCCAATCACTGTATGGCTCCTGAGTCCTAGCTAGTGGTACATGCTTTTATCTCCACTAAAACTATTTACGATAATTGCCTATAGATGTTTCATTCTGAAGATTTAATCAGAATATACATGGTTTATATATATATATATATATACGTATAAGTGGGGAGTGGCCTGGTTGTTAGAAGCTACATATTTTGACCGTTTAGTCATGAATTTGAATTTTTTCACATATTCTTCTCATAATACGTAGCCAAGTGCTAATCAGAAGTGTGACACCACTATTTACGTGCATTATTTCTAAAAAATGTAGAAATTAATTATCTCTCGTTGCATTCCTAATTTGCTTGTTTTCATTCTAGATCAAATTATTAGTATTACTACAAATCATTCATTAACGATATGGGTCGTTCAGACAGTCGTAAACGTGGACGTAATACAAAATCTGTCAAAGAATCGGATTCAAAAAGAACTAGAACAACTATTTGTCGACCTGAAGATGAAGATTCTACGATGTCAGGATCATTGGATTTTGATAATGAATCTAATGAAGATGTTTATGATAATAACGAGGTCGATGATTTTAATATCAGGAAAATCGGTAAGGTCAGCTCAGAGATTGATGATGATTTGGATGATAATGTTGAACATAATGATAATGACGATGAAGATGCTGATATCGATGAATATGAATCGGGTATAATGGATGCAGATGAGTTACGTGTTGCTTCAAGAGCGCAAATGACAAAAACCCGTCAGCAACATGATTCTTCAGTGAATAAACCTACAGAGACAACAGTTGTTTGTACACCGAAAGATGAATTTGGTGCTAAAGATATGAGGAATATATTAAAATTACGTTTAGATCATCCATCTCGTCCATTATGGATAGGTCCAGACGGACATATTTTTCTCGAAACTTTCAATCCATTGGCTCGTCAAGCTCAAGATTTTTTGATTGCTATTTCAGAACCAGTCTGTCGACCTTTACACATACACGAATACAAACTCACCTCTTATTCATTATATGCAGCTGTTTCAGTTGGTTTACGTACTGGTGAGATAATTGGTTGTCTACGTCGTTTATGCAAAACTAACCTACCAGAAGGTATTATTGCATATATTCGTAGTTGTACATTATCATACGGAAAGGCGAAATTAGTTTTAAAAGGTGGTCGTTATTTTGTTGAAAGTCCCCATCGTCAATTTTTACATCAGTTAGCAAATGATAAAACTGTACAACAATGTTTGAATAAAACAAAGATTATTACAGAAGATGATGATATTAAACAACAAGTAGTGGAAGTTGTAAAATTGTATAATGCTGCGTCATTAGTAATACAGCCACAACACCAACAAGAAGATAGCAGAGAAATTCCAGCAGATAAAGAAACTGGTATGCAAGATGAAATGTTACGTCTTTATGCTCGTTTGGATGCAGATGAAGAAGCAGGTGAAACAAATTCTATCCTTGTTGATACAACAAAAAAATCAGGGAATAATTTCTGGGAACAACCTAGCGATACTGTAAATATTAATGCAATCGGTATTGAATCAGATGTTGCTGATCGTGAAGGTGAGTTGATGGATATAAAAGATAATGGAAACACTGCTGGTATAAAATTGGTTTTTGACTCATCTGTTCCAAACGATACGAAAACCTCAGCTGTACTTGCTTTGGAAGTGAATCAAGATCAAATTGAAATTCTTCAACGAAGATGTATTGAATTAGAAGTACCATTATTAACAGAATATGATTTTCGTTTAGATCGTGCTAATAAAGACATTTTAATTGATTTAAAAGCCAGTACAACATTAAGACCATATCAAGAAAAAAGTTTACGAAAAATGTTTGGTAATGGTCGAGCTCGTTCTGGTGTTATTGTTTTACCCTGTGGAGCTGGTAAAACATTGGTATGTCATTCGCGTTTATATATAATATTATAGTTTGTGGATTATCTTAATAAGTTAGATAAACTATTTACTACACTTCCTCAATGTGCTTATCAGATCTAAGTTACGCGGGCATTATGGATATTAACGAAATAATGAGTCTTAGATTTTATTTGTTTGAAATTTATTGCCATTAAAAAGATGTTTTTTTCCTACAAACTAATAGCTACCGAAAGCTAGAAATTCTTGTTCAATCGTATAAATTATGTTAACATTTCAATATTCTATGAATGATGGATTGTTTGAAAGTATTCAAAACCCAGACTCATACATAAGCTCTATGTTGTTATCAGCTTATTTCGTTAATTTAGATTTCTCTTTCGTTTGATACCTTGTTACTTTTGTTGTGTTAAGGTCAGAAATAAGAACAAAGTCAGTAGGAGGAAATTGTTGTTTTACTTTTCTGTTTTTTATTACACAAAAGAGAGTCATATCATACTGCGCTCAAAGGAAGTAACGGAAATAAAATAATACACACCGTATTATATTTTAAGAATAAATGATTTTATTTATTTCATATGCTTACTCATTAGATCATTTTCCATTTGCTAGTCTTTATTTGTGAGATAGTAGTGTAGTCAAATGGTTAAGGTTTTTTTTATTTCTAAGCTTAAGTATGTATTTATGGAATTTTTTATATGATCCAGTCACCAATACATGTTCCTGATCCTTGATTAACGTAATTATAGGAACATCTATTCCCAACTGGACGGTACTCATGATATATATATATATATATATATATATATATATATATATATATATATATGCATGCTTGATTGCAGCTCGGATGAAGTTAAAGATGAATTTTATAGGAAGCTATCCAACCTCCTTCGTAAAGCTGAACGCTCTGATGCACTAATACTGTCAGACGATTTTAATTCTCAATGTGGGTATACTAAACCAAATCGAAAGGCACTTGTGAGGATCTTAGTCATAAGACTTTACTTTACTTTAGTCCGTGAAATTCTGTGGGAGTGTCTGCCATCGAAAGGTATACCGAGGTACGTAAACCTTGTACAGGCTCTCTATTCGGACAATGCTGGTCGAGTCAGAGCTTATGGCGAACTGTCATTAGGATCGGTTACTTCAAGTGGTGCTCGGTAGGGTTGTCTGCTTCCTCCATTTTTATTTAACTTTGTCATAGACATGTTTTTAAAGATAACACTTTCATCGTCTGACTTTTCAGGGTTTGATCTACCAGGAGATTCACTTGTTGACTTAGAATACTCAGATGACATAGTTCTGTTTGGTGAATACGTTGATTAAATGCAGTCTTCCGTTCACCTTAAGCAACAATGTAAGCATATTTGGTTTGTGATTCTCCTCCTCCAAAAGTAGAATGTTGTTTCAGGACCGGCCTGCGTCTACTCCCGAATTAATGATAGGGAGTGCGTCAGTTGAATATATCAACCGCCTCACTCATTTTAGGAGTTTCATCAGTCTTGATAGTCTGGAGTCTAATGAAATCTCTTTACGGATTCGAAGAGCTCGATCGGCTCTTTTGAACTTTCGTCATTTATGGCATAGGCGAGATATCCGTCTGCCAACTAAAGTGCGAGTATACTACACGGTAGTTCGCTCCGTTCTACTTGGTGGTTATGAAACATAGACTTTAAGAGCAGGTACTATTCGTAGGTTACTGGTATTCAACCATATATGTCTTCGAAGCATCACTCATGTATTGTGAGGCCAGTGAGTATGCGATCCGTAGGTTACGAATGGGGTACTAGATAATAGTGAGAAGTTTATTGATGGGGTAGTAAATCCTCATCTGGTGAGGTGATTAGGACATGCTACGTATTCCCATCCACTGTCTACCTCAAAGAGCGATATTGTCTGGTGTAGTGGTGGCTATATGAAAGCTAGAAATGTCCACACCAAAACATTGGACTTGTCCATGAAGTCACTGGCAGTTTGACCGAGCTGTGTTTATAAGTGTAGACCACCTGGTTGAGGTCTGCGTGATTATCTTAAATTCTTCATAACATTTCTCCCACTCATTTATATTTTTTCTCGCGAATCGTATCATTGATACTGGATCTACCGTTTTATCACTGACACTTATTACCCCTACTATTCTGGGATTGAACCTTACAATTTCATTTCTCTGTGCTAATGGGATATTGCATCTTAAACCTATGTACATACATACAAGGATCTATGTTATGTCTGACTGACTGAATATTTTTTATTCAACTGTACTGTATATATGTGAAGTCTTTTTCATTGATGCATATCAATGAATACTTGCAGTTTTTGAATAATCTACTTTCATTCATCATATCTCACCAATTCAGAGTGCTACTTGGTGCATTATACGGTGTAGTCATGAGATGATTATGAATAGTAGAGTCCCATTATATGCTCCCAATAATAGTAATAATAATAGACTAAATAAATGAGATCTCATCATTATCATTCTTCTATATTTTTGATCACTATCGTATTGATTTTACTGTCACCGTCGTCATCAATGTTCTATATTTAATGATCATGTGTTTTGTGTTTTTTATTGTATATCACCTTTTGTATATAAATTTTTTCTGTCTTCGGGAATTTATTTTATCCCCGTAAGCAAATGAATAAAAATTTTCTTCACTATTTCTTCGTATTCGGAAAATAAGGTCAACGTAAATATTATAAATACAATATAATTACTTTCAACCTTTTACGAATCATTACTATTTACTTGACTTGTATTACTTCAACACGCAATAAGAAACTGCACTGATATACCATTAATTATGTTAATTGTCTTTTATAAATAGCATATTACGTTGGTTATTAACTGAAATTTCGTACCTTCACATTAAAATAACTAGTTTTCTTATATGATGTTTTGTAACTTTGTTCTGTTATCAAAGTAGTTTTTTTATTTAGCAAACTCTTCAGACCATTAATTTAAACTCAAAGTCGGAAAAACTGATAATAATTTCTTGAAAAAAAGTTACTCTTCATTCGTGTATCTGTGCTACTATATGACCAACTTATTACTGCTTATAACACCGATGTTTGAAAACTCAGGTTATCAAAAGACTGAATAACTGACGAGTACACGAGCCTCATCTTTTCTAACAAACCGATGAACTTATCTGTAAACTATTAACTCGAAATGAAAGACAAAAACCATTAAAAGCAATTGCTTGTGGCATACAAATTTTATGGGTCACTCGCTAATGAGATTGAAACGTGAAGTTCAGGCTTCACTTATTCGTACTCAACGCACATTTCGTTTAGAATAGAAATTCCAAAAATATAGAAAAACATATGATCACTGAATACTAGCAGTACTATCGAGAAACAAATTACATTGTACACTACATTGTATACTGCTCAAAATCGTTTTATTCACCGTAATGTGATATAAATTCCTAATTATTCTCCTTTCATTACTCCCCGTTTCGCCCTTGTTTTATTTGCTTCTTATGTTTTATTATATTCATTTTCAAAACAAATACGTAAAAAAATACTCAATTTTCTTAGACTGCCTATGCTAATAATAACAATAGTAAATGTCGTTTTCGTGATCTATCTCCCCCATTTAATCTTCTTCCCCTCTCTACCTTTTACTATTAATTATAGGTAAAATAACATGAGTCATTGTAGATCAATCAATAATCCATTGATTTATTTTGCTTCTGTCGTCAATAGATCCACGTAAATACAGCTGTATTTGTGTGTTAGAGAAAAGGGAAGAGAGAGAAGGAGCGCGATTACCGTATTCGAGTTATTTTCCTCTTCTGCCATTATGATTATTACTACAAGTCTTGAGGTGACATATAATTTATACACATGTATGCTTCAACTTTTTCCCATCTGGCATGTGAGGATAACCGTTAGGGGAAATCTCTTTTGTTGTCCTACAAAACATCTAATTTGTTTTAATAGCAAACCTTGTGTGTTTCTGTAATGCTCTCATTTTACACAGATAATTTCGACAAGCATTATCACTAATATATTTGTCACAATTTTCACAGTGTCATATTTTAGAATTGTTTAACGTGTCAGATGTGGTTGCCTAAATTTCGAGTACCATTATTCTTAATGTTTGTGGTGTTTTTAAAATGTGGTGAAAGCATTTGTTTCTCTATCATTGTCGTTGGGCCGTACGTCATTTTACTTACATATGTATTCAAACAAACAGGTAATATTTTAATGTGTCTAGATTGTCAGCATGGTAATGAATTTGTATCCAGTTGTAAGAACTATTTTGCGTGTTACTTATGTGTACAGTCAGTTTTTTTTATCTCATCACGTCCGTTATTCTAACATTTAAAGATTGCTTTTGTTCGACTTATTAATATTGTGATTAGTATGTATTCAATACATTTATATACAGGAAAAAGCTTTTTAGTCTAGTTATCAGAGTATTATACTTTGTATACTCACACATAGGTTGTTACGGGAAAATCATAATATATCCGTGAGGGTTTTTGTTTTAACGCTGACATCAAGGCCTGTATTTTGACCAGTTTGTAGTGGCATTCGAGCATAATGAGCGAATTACCTTGATATTGCCATTTAGCGGTAAGTTTCTTTATTCGGGTTCTGATTAGCCGTGAGATCCAGAATGCGACTTTCAGACTATTCAGAACTTGTTATCTCAGTATTTTGTTCATACTGATATTCGAACCCAGTACCTATTACTTCAAATTACAACTCACTGTCCACCAAGTTATTGATTCCGAATAAAAACTAATTTGTTCTACGGGTATGAAGTTATTTTTAAGTGTTTTCAATATTATTCCGAAATAAACAATACCAAATGATTCTTTAAATTGGTATTGTTTTCATTTGAATACATAATCCACAGTTTTATCATAAAACTATAACACGTATACTGAAGGAAATTGAAGTGTCCTCCTTAAGTAGTTAACGTTTGCTAATATCAGATACTTAGAATACTCAAATGTGGCGGCAGTGAACGATATTGGTTTCTAAAATACTGAGATTGGTATTTGTGCATAGTAGAGTTTTCAGCGTTTCAAAATTATTCACTAGGTTAGAAGTAAGTTTTGTCTTCGGAAGTTGATCATGCTTTACGTGATAAAACGTTGCAATAACAATGCCTAACTCATGATTTATCATTCTAATTAGTGCAAATGTAGTAGTTGTTCTGAATTCAAGTTATTTAAGAAATAAAAATATCTGCTTTTGGCATTAGTTATCTTTCATGTCATAATAATAGTTGAAGTCAAAATTCACATGCTTGGGCTTCAACTTGTTGAACTTGATAAAAATAAATTAGAACTGTTTACGC